AAGATATCTCACCTTTATAAAAATTGACAAGTGATTATTATTCACCGAAAAGGTAAATATTTCAGATAGAAGTAAAAAGGACAAAAAATTGCTCTGGCACTGCCACTCATAGGTAGGTCTCTATGTACAGGTACCTTTAAAATAATCTTGTAACTACCTACTTGTGGGGTTCTGCGATCCAGCTCGCTTTCCTTTTTTTGACTATTTTGTCACAGATATATGTTCTTGTGTCAGCAGGAAGAGATGTGTCACTTTTAACAGCTGAATATTATTCTGTTTTATGTATCACTTCTTTAGTTCACTTTCTGTGGATGCGCATTTAAGTCATTTCCAGTTGTGTGCAATATTATAAATAATGCCATAATGGGTATTCCACTGTGATTTGAAAATGTCTTGACAAATGTCTCTCATCACACTGGATGGTAATTATCTATGGGCCTGTCTTTCCCACCAGACAATTATTAGTACCTGGAGGGTGGAAATCATTATTTCTTTTGGAATCTTCACTATCCTGCAGATATTCAGCAGGTGTTCAATATACACTGTAGAAAGAAAGGAGGAATAAAGGAATGGATGTTAATATAATTTGGTGCACATGTATATCATCACATGTCTTTAGTTTTTGCTCAAATTTTCGCTGGCCTATAGTTTGTTATTTTTTAGGCATTATTAAATTCCTTGCTTGTTTCTAATTTCTTTATAGATGTCATTACCACTGACATAAATTCAATGTTATTTTAATATTCAGAATATGGTCAAATCGTGACTCCTTCATAGCTTGTGGTAGTCTCTGGAATAGATTTTTTGAATTGTGGAGAAATAGTCTAAATGCTGGTACCTGGCAGTATTTGCTCATCCCTAAGCAGAGATATGTTACTAGGACTTCAGTTGTCAATTACAAGAAGAGAACCACACGCTATGTGTGTTGCACACTATTTTCAGCTGTTATCTATTGTAAGTTCTCTGGAGCACTGTTTGCTGCTACAACTGAATGGTCTCATAAGTTTAATTCACAAATATGACCACAAAATTGTCTTAAATCACAGAAGGAAAAAGAGTAAAACCAACTCAAAAAGGCTGAAATGCTGCTTATGTCTTCATTAGAACCCACCATTTTTCCCATTTGTTTCTTTGGGATGCTAAAAGAGCCTTTTGGTCTTGCAGTGTGTTGCAAAAGAGCATAACATCAACCTGACTCTCCAAAGGAAAGAAGCACACTGTTGATGTCTCTGTAAGAGCTTGCATTTGGCTTATTGACTAATGTACTGCATTGTGGTTGGCATATAAGGCAGTGGAAGCCAAGTGGCTCAGACAATAACAGTGTTCAGTGGGTGTCAAAAATTTACAAGAGCTTAAGCTATTTTTTATTTCTTCTTATCGGGCCAGAAGCACTTACTATTGTTGTCCAATATGTTGCAAATGTACATAGTTCAAAATGCACAAAGAGAGTGATATGCAATTATAGAACTGAAAATAGGCTACTGATTGGGTACAAATTCATCAAGCCTCTTTCTTTCTCAACAAGCTTTTCTTGGACACAGCTTGGCTTGGAAGGAGTGAAAGCGACTGTTAGCAAATGACACAGTGGAAAAGTTGACCTCTTGCGATTTCAGCTCTGCTCAGTTAGCTGTGTATCTGCTCTACCCCAACATGTGTATTCACAAACTTTCAGTTGGTAAATCGTTAGTCTTACATGAAGAACACCTAATTTTCTATGGAGTGAATATTTATATTCCCTTGAAATTTAAACTCCAAAGTGATGGTATTAGGAAGTGGAGCCTTTTGGAGGTGCCTAGGTCATCAGGATAGAGTCCTCACGAGTGAAATTAGTGTCTGCATAAGAGACCCTGAAGACCTTCCTTGTTCCCTCTGCCATGTGAAGACACAAGCAACTGGGAATCAGAAAGAAGGCTCTCATCAAACACCAAATCTGTCAGTACCTTGATCATGGACTTCTCGGTTTCCAGAACTATAAGCAATATGTTTCTGTTATTTGTAAACCATATAGTCTGTGGTGTTCTATTACAGCAACTTGGATAAATTAAGAAAATCCAGTGCTTAATTTCTTCAGAAACTTACATAATTCATCTCAGGTGGAAAATAGTGAGGCAGGAGTTGGAACCCTGAAAATGTCACTCTAAAAGTTATTCCCTAATCACCATGCCAAACTGTCTCTGATTAGGAAAATATATTATCTACAATAATGTCAGAATTATTTTTCTAAAGCACAAGCATTGGCTTGTCTTTTTCCCAATGAAAAGTTTCATCAAGTCACCTTTTCTTAAAGCAGCAGTCCTCAGCTGTTTTTTTCTGGAACATTCATAACAAATATCATTCCCTTTCACCTCATTGTTTTGTGCCTGTTTCTCACCCATCCAGAGAATGATCCAGTTGCATGTCATGCAAGGTAATGTTATTGTAGGGATGCTTTAAAACCTGACTTCATATGCTAGAGTTTTATAGCATGTAGCAGAAGTATGATCACAGTGGGCTAGAGGTATAACAACTTACTGTGTTCAAATGTCCAGAAGTATTATAGAAGCCAGTAAAGGTGTGTATAATTGCTTAAGAAATTTATCAAGAATCCTGGCTCTTTCTACCTTTATGGTCACCATGCTTAACATACTTAGCAAGACTTCTATTCTTTAGGTGGCTCTCTCACCTGAAGATATCATATCTATAAGCAAGACAGGAAAATGAAATAAAGGAAAAGGACACAAAAAAATAAAACCAAGTAGGCATTTGTAAGGTGATGCCATCCTTTTTAATAAGCTTTAGAGAGACTCACCTTGTTTACCATTTACATCTCATTGGCCTTGTCTACCTACAAGAGGTTCAGTGAAACTGAGTATTTTAATCTGAATAAAGTCCCCACCCAACTCAGGGATCTAGTAGTTTAAGGACTGAAAAAGTGATGGACAGCCAGCCAGCAGTTTGTCCTCTATATAATGTAAGCCAACATTTGCATTTTTATTGACCATTGATGATTCTGAATTGGATTCCACTACTGATCACAGGATACTAGTGACATGCTGACTCCATTGTTGAGGACATCTGAACTACAGGAAATATCTAAATCCCTAAAGAGAATATATAAGGTAGGGGTCTTACCAGTTTGACACCAGCCTTTGTAAATTCCTGTTTCACCATCTCAAGCCCTTTGCTTCAGTCACACATAACTTATCTTTTTTAAATGCATTGATTCTCTTTGCCCTGTATTTTTTGCACATATCTTTTTCTCTGCTTAAAAGATCCTTTTCACCTTCTCTGTCTGGTAAGATGATACTTACTCTGCAAGGCCCAGAATACCATCACAGCTCTGGAAATGTCCTTATCTTTCTCTGTCAGATCTATTTTGGGTGCTGTATATACACCTCCCTAGCTCACTTGTCCTTATTTGCTTGCATATATGTCACTGCTGACAAATGCTATGGCCTCTTAGAAGACAAGGACTATAATTTATTCAATTTTTTTCTACCCAGTGCCTCCTGCAATTCCTGGAATATGTTCAAGATACCTGGTTAAGTAAAACACAACTGAATATTATCTCTGGTATAGAGATGACCTACAAGGAGTTGAAGCGAACTGCTCTCACCATAGAAAAATGCATTGACCAATGTCCCTTAAATCTAGATCTCAGTAAATTAATGACTGTCAGCAAAAATGTGGAAGAAACAGATAGATTTTTTCTTTTGGTCTTGGTGATAATCTTAATATAACTCAGTAATTTAAATGTTCATTATTTATATCTACTATTATCTCTTCTTTAGCTCTCTTATTTATAGTTATTGTGTTTTTCTTTGCACATAATTTGATACACAGTTTGTGTTCTGAGAAATCTATTTTTCAGAGTAGAAAAGAAAAGTTTAATGCAAAAATTTGAACTCTTTGGAAAAATGATTAGCTTATTGACTTTTCAGTTGTTTTAGCAGCTGCAATATTTATACTTTGCAAATACCTAGTGATTGTCATTAGAGCAAGTTTAGGAGTAATAAAGAAACTGCATGAGGATACAGAAGGGAAAGAGTGAGGTGCAAACGCAGAATTGGACAAAGGGTTATGGTAGACATGGTGAATTCCTGTTATGATGCTGCCCTTCTCCCTGCTTCTTCTCTGAGTGTATTGGGGACACATATCATTACTCAATCAAAACACTTTTATACTTGAGCCCAGATATGGTCTTAGATTACATCTCAATGTTATGTTGCTCCAGGTATGTTACATCAACAAAGGCAGGAAGATGAGCATATCCTTCAGTTATCAATGCACCCTCCCTAAGCTGTAGTCAGGTCAATAACTTCTCTCTGATGCTTCCCTTTGCAAAATAAGGAAAGTATTGTGATCTAAGACAGAGTTTGCAGGTACTGTATTTCACTCTTCTGTCATGTGTCTGGGTGAGCAGTGGGGTCTGTATTTTATTATCATAACACTCCTGACACACCACTTCTGTTCCTGCCTAAGGAACAAGAGAGACCATCCTTCTCATAGACTATGAGTGAAGATGAGGTAGCTGATGTATTGAATGACAAAAAAAGTGGTGAGCACTTTATAGTCATATCTTTTTGCTTTTTAACAACCACTTGGTGTTATTATTATTGTCCCCATTTTACAGGTAAGTAAATAGCCTCAGAGAAAATTGCCTAAATTTCACAGCTGGCAAATGATGAGGATATGATTCAATCTCAGATCCGTGACATCCAACATCATGCTTATGGACTCTGGAAAGTTAATTGATTTAAAATCTACTTGCCTTTTTTTTTCTCATGACGCTAAGTGCTTCTACTTTAGATAGAATCCTTTAGCTTTTATTTTATACTCTCTTAGTTTGTAGACTATGAAGGCAGATGGAAAATGAATAAATTCAAATCAGATATGTATTAGAAACAATCAACCTATTTAGATTTTCATGTCCATCAGGTATAATTCTGGCCCTTGGAGTCTATCTTGATGGAAATGGAAATCGTATTTAGGTTTCATCTTCTTTGTCTTCTTTTCTGCAGGACATCGTCCATATCAGGTGATCACTGCCCGAGCTCACCCTGGAGAGAGCAATGCCAGTTGGGTGATGAAGGGCACCTTGGAGTTCCTCGTCAGCAGTGACCCTGTGGCGAGGCTCTTGAGGGAAAACTTCATTTTCAAGATCATCCCTATGCTAAATCCAGATGGAGTCATCAATGGCAAGTATGTTACATACTGGGCTTGACAAGACCAGCATTTATGTTACCATAGTAATACATTGTTCTTTTACCCATGAGGTGTGTTTGGAGAGGCATTGGTACCTGCAAGAATATTTTTTTCCTTGATATTTGATAAAAATATTTTTTGATATTTGGTAAAAATTACAGTGTATTCTCCATAAATATTTATGTCAGTTTCATGATTTCTTTGAATAGAAAGATAAAGGCCATTAGTGGCAGAAAACATGATCTAGTCCAACACTTTTTTTCAGAAGGGGAGAACTGGTGTCCAGGATACTCAAACAACTGCCCAAGTCACATGGTGGGTTAGTGGCAAATTTAGGACTCAAACTGATTTTTTTCGCAGCTAAGACCAATGCATTCATATTTACTTTTTAATGTGTATTGCAGAGAAATCTTTATTCTCAATTGTATTTTACTGGATTCTAGGGTCACCTAAAATAAGGGTGTCACTCTAGCTGAACAGAATATCAACTAAAGAAAAGGTTGGAGTCTTTCTTTTCCTTTCTCAGCCTCTGCATGCCGTTGGAATGTATGATGGGAAGGATGATTGCTTTGTCCAGTGAGGTCTGTTGGAAAGGGTCAGCATTCTCAAAGTTTGGGAGGTAAGGCCCAAATGAGGTCTCCAAGGTCAGAAGGCTAGTGAGTGGGGGTGGCAGGAGTAACATTCACCAATACCTGTCTCAGACCTGCAGAGAGAGTCAAGCCCTTTCCTGTGCTAATACATGGTTCTTTGTACTGTAAAAATAGAGATTGTATCCTATGGAAAAACAAATATTGGAGACACAGAAAATATTGAGAGAAAAACAAATTTCAAAAGCTATAAATTAAAAATTTTATTTAGATTTTAAAACATCAGTAGTAAATAAGCATAAACACAAGTTTAGAAGGTTGAGAAAAGAGCAGTATTAAAATGATAAAATGGAAGAGATAAAATGAGAATTATTAAGAAATACTACCAAGGAAATCAAAACTTTAAAGAGATAAAATGACATAAATGAGAATAATTTAATAAAGATGAAATAGTTAATTTCTTTAAAAAAGAAATTAAATGTTTAACAACTCAGAATAGATTAGTTTCAAAAGATAAGCACAAAATGAAATTAGGTAAATTAAAAAGGTAAAAATTGGGCCGGGGATTTAGCTCAGTGGTTTCGCCACCTGCTGCGCAAGCTCAAGGACCCGAGTTCGATCCCAGGTACCCCCCCCCAAAAAAAGATAAAAATCATAAGTATGATAAAATATAAAGAGAGGAACAGCATAAATTTGAAATGATGAAATATGTTTTCATGGCAAATACAAAGGTGCAGATCATAAAAATAAAGTTATAAAGTATAAAAAAAGTAAGAGCCCGAGATAAGCAAGGCATTATGTCAGTTATTATTTTGTATGAAAATTGAGGGCAAAGTCATGGGAAAGAGAGCAAGATCCCTTCTTGGTGACTGATCTTCAAACAAGTGTGGGGACAGAGAAGCCAAATCTGTCACCACGGAGTATCAGTCAGGCCTCTAGTAGCAGTTAGGCTTCTGGGACCTTAGGCTGGATAAGGCCCTACAGCGGTGTCCTCTCTGATTGCACAGAACTCTTCTGATTCTTGCTGTGTGCCCTTTAACTCTGGAGAACAAATCTAGGACATCAGAGAGTGGCCTCTCCCTGCTGGAGTGGCCAAAGATTTTACTAGTGAGCTTTTCCCATCTAGATGGATGGAAAACAGCTAAGCAAGGCATCTCGAGGGACATGATCCCATTTCGACATTTTCTCATCCAAGTTGGCTCTTTACTGAAGTCTGTCCTTCCAGTGAATTGTCTGGAGTGTAGCAGAGTGTGGAAAGAGCACTGCATTGGGAGTTGTAACTCTAATTGGGAAATCTGGCTCTTCCCCTGACCTTCTCAGTTTTCTCCTCTGTTGGAAGAGGAAGACAATGTGCTCCCTGTTGACCTTTCTGGGAAAAGGTCTCATAAACCCAAGACAATATTAAAGCTCAGGGATTAAGTACTAAAGTTTCTTCCATTTTAAATACTCACACCTCCAGATCAGAGGCTTGCTCCAGGTCTTTGGTTTAAAGGTTAATGTGGTCTCTAGTCACTGAGGATCCTCTTGGCTGGGACACACATTATTTCCAGCTCACAGCTGGTTGCTCTGTGCTCTCAAATGGCAGGCCAGCTTCTTCTCAGTGACACTGGCATTCATCATCATTACTATTATTTATTATGACTCAAATTACCCTTTTCATTTATATAGCATCTTTCATCATGGAGCTCCAGGCACTTTGTAGATCCCTTGGATACTCAAAACAGTTTTGGCTGAAAGGGACTTGGAAATCACAATGTTATTCCACTGATAGGAAAGTTTGCAAGTCGTAGAATATCATTAGGGAAAGACTTGAGGGGGCCATGAATCTGTTGTATTTCACAGTAAAAGTGCTTAAAAGTCTCAATTCTTGAACCTTTCTTAGAAGATACATAACGTGGTTTATCTAACTTCCACTTGAGATATTTTTGTGATTGGAATTCCATTTTAGGGTATGCCCATTCCAGGTGGATTTATGTTGCAATATGCTTTAATCTTTGCCCTTTGAGCCTCACCTATTTTAGGCAGCCTTCTCATGGGGCACCCCATGGGTAAAATCACATTACCCTCATAAAGGCCTGACCTTTCCCCTGTTAAATCCTCTCCAGATTGATGCAGCTCACCTACGTGTTATTTATAGGATGTTATTTCTGATGTTCTCAACTTCACTGATTTTCTCTGGACATACTGTTATTAACAGGCTTCTTAAAAGTGACAAAACTGCCTGTGTACTGTCTGACCAGTAAGAGACATTCGTTACACAAAGACTAGAAAATTTAAAGCTAAACTTGGCACATCACCTACTATAACATATTTTTCTATCACAAGTAATCATAGGCCTCTATTGAACTTGCATGAGTGTGTAAAAGTAGAGTCGTTTCTTTTTGTGGTGATGGTGATGGAGCCTTTGAGGATAGCTGGGAGATTTTCATAACAATGGTCAGGGACACAAAGCCAGGATTTTCTAGCAAAAATACAGTGGGTCTGTCCAAACCCAGGATCTCTTAGCAATGCACAACTGAACAGGAAAACAAAATACAAAGATGGATGATGATGATGTTAACTTCCAAAAGAAACAGTTTACATCTTGCTTACCTGTAATTTGTATTGAATTGGGCTGACTTCTTAGTGAATCAGAAGAACCACTGTAGTGGCTCCTCAACTGTTATAATTCTTCCCGAGGTGAGGTGAAATAGAATGAGGAGTTAACAAATTGGGTTAGAAAAGAAATGATATTGGTGGCTTGTTAAGAGTAGGAAGTGAGGAGAAGGCAGCCGACTTCAGAGCAGCTCCAAATGTAGACATCAAGTGTAAATGGGAACAAGAGAAGGAAAAGAACAAGTCAAACATAATTCCCATTTTTAAATCTTTGGTTATTGGGTGGTGGTGACAACATAATTTTTATAAAGCCAACATACAGCCTAACATTTTATTCACAAGAGAATCAGAACATATTGATTCTTAGAGCATATACAACTCTGCAAACTTGATTATCTTCTTCTAAGGCCGGCATGCACAGACAGAAAAAACCAGCAAAGAGCAAAGGACCTACCACAAGTAAACACATCAAGGTATTAAGAAGTAAGAGCTGAATGCACTAGAGGGAACAAATCAAACTATAAAAATCATATCTACAAGCTTAAGAATCTGGGACCATTTAAAGTTAGTGCCAATAGACTTTTATTCTGGTAAGGGTTGTGAAGGCTTTATATTACTACAAGGAGAAATCCTACAGGCTTTACCTTAAAAAATTATTCAGTGGCTTTCTTTGGGCTGAGAAATAACCTAGTTCTTTTACATATATTGTCATATTTAATTGTCACTATGACACAACAAATGTAGATTTTCTTCTGTGTAATTTATAGATAATAAAACTTGAGCACACAGGGATTAAATCCTGGGTGCAGTTTGAATAGTTGCTGTTCCAGATCTGGAACTAGAACTTGTGTCTGACCTACACTTCTTTGCTGTAGAGAATTAAGGATATTAGAACAAAATAGTCTTCAAATATTCTAGTGTGTTGGGGGGCTTCTATACATTATTTAGTTCTAGTCCTTCAAAGGATAAGGAAATGGAGACAAAATGAGTTATTCAAATAGTATCACTAGTTTAGGGCAGAAATGGCATGAGAAATTGTGTAGATAATTAAAACACACATGCAGACATGAGTATGTACACATGTGCACCTGTGCCCAGGGTTAGGAATAGCTTCTGAGTGAGCTGGGATTTGTACCCAGACTAATTCCAGAAACCTTGTTCATTTTAGTCTACCAGATTTTCCCCACTTTCGATACATGTACAAATAGCGTTTAGGCCCCATCAGCAGATAGGCTCTGAAATCAGTCTTGTTAACCCAGACCTTTATATTCAGGGAGTTCAGGATGAGCCAAGGCATAGCCATCCTCAGTTTTCTGCCTTTTTGGATGGGGATGAATGAATTAGTTCATCTTTGGTTCTCCTTCATGAAATCTGAATTCTGAGTGTGCCTGTGGCCTTGACACCCTACCTGATCCTGCCACCTTTCTCCATTAGAGAATATATCCTTCCCTGTTTCTGCCTGCTTTTGGCTGTGCACACCATCCAGCTGACTGAATATTTATCATCAGGGAGCTCACCTTCCACTGGCTATTATGTGGTATTTTCACATAACTCTTCGGAGTCATAGAGGATTCAGGTCATCCCATTGGGCTCACTTTACCTTTGGACTGGTCATGTCTCTGCCTTCCCATTTGATCTGAACTCTAGTTTTAATGTATTTAGTTTCTACAATATAATAAAATGCAGTAGGGTGTCTCAAATTTTGGGATTTCACAGATCAGTTGCATTTAAATAGGCAGAGGAATGAGTAATACATATATGTGCGGTTTTTAAAAAAAATTCAAACAAGTAAGAATGGAAGATATTCTCTGAGCA